CCCCCCCCCCCCCTGCCCTTGGTTGTTCGGTGTCCTGTGGACCGTTGATCATCTCTGATCTTCCGAGACAGGAGTAGCTTGTACACAGTCATAATTCAATTACAGTAGTAGAGCAATAATTTAATTTCGGCATTACAGGAGACGAGAGGGTGGGGGGCGAGGCATGGCATATGGAGTAAAGACACGCTGAATGGCGTTGATGGTATGGCTGACTGATTGCACGATAAGGGGGGTCTGGTACTAAGGCGGCGGTAATACTGGCGTGTTTATGCCTCTCAGGAGATGCACGGCTGGCAGCGAGGTCCCATACCTATGCTGTGCGTGATTGGACGAATTGTGTGTGGATTATGCGGACGCAGTTGATCTGATGCTCTGTGCCGTGAAAGAAGATTGGGGCATTATCCTTTTCGGAATTGGAACCGCAACGGTTGCATCGGAAGGAGTCTACCTTGTTTTTCTCCTTTTCTTGTGGGGAAGCAGATTATTGGATGGTGTGTGGGGTGGAAGAACATTGGGGTGTTTTCTTTTCGGGAAATGGAATCGCGACCCGCAATGCGATGCTTAGTAGTAACCCTCGGGCATGGGTACTGTGGCATGCATGCCTCGAAGGACTAATCTTCGCGGGAAGACGATAAAGTGGTGCATGGCGGGTCCTTCAATACTTCAGATAGTGTCATTATTCCGCGAGGAACGTGTAAGGAGGCATGATGGGTATTGTGGTATGTCATCGGACAAAAGGAAAAAAGAATCTTCACACACGGTAATACAGGGTTGTTTGCCCTCTGTCCAGTCTTCAGCGGATCACGATCGTATTATTTATTGGTGTGTTGGTCGAGGGAACGGGGGGAGATATTGACTTTGTCGCTCCTTACAGCTTCCTCGGTCAGGAAAGAACGTACAAATGTATGTATTTTTCAGTGATGGGAGTGGTTGGGTATCTGGTAGTTCCGACGATGTAGTTATCTCATTTGGTTTGTGTTTTCTTTGTATTTTCTTTTGAATACTTCTATTCGTATTCGTTCGATTTGATTTTGTTGATTTGATTGGATCCGATCTCATCTGATTGATGGTGTCATTTGTGTGTTGCCGCGCATGCCCGGAGGCGGATCTCGCGCGTGCTTTGTGTTTTGCTTGCCTTTGCCTCCCCCCCGGAAAGGAACTGGATAGTTCTGTAATTATTGATAGCCCATGGGAGGAGTACTACTGTATGCTATATTCGTTTTGGCATCGATGATCCTTTTCCGCGCTCGAATTAGGCCAATGTCGTTGTCCAGAAGATACATGTAATATATATGGTGTGTGTGTGTGTGCGTTGGGGTTAATTTCTTTTGCATGCTTCTGTTTCTGCTTGTTTGCACGCTAGTAAAGTGCTTTTGGGTATGGAGCAACAAAGCTGATTGGCTCCTTAGGAAGCTCTCAATGACATGCGCTTTACACTCCACACTTCTTCTGTGCCTTTCCATGTCTGCCATATTTGCACCCGATTCTAGGCGACAGGAAGCAGCAAAGCGCATTTTGCTATTTAGGACGTGCTCGACGACTATGCTCGCGCTTGTTTGGTGTCGCTGCAAGTCTTGTGAACCGCTTAGCGACTCAGTGCATGTTGTATCCCTGCGCTCTCTCCATGCTTTTTTTCGTTTGCATTCTCGGTTCTTTGTGCTGGTTGACCTTCTGAATATTGTCCGTCCTCTTCCGATCGCACTCGCTCTCTCGGCCACTGCTGCCGTCGTCTATCCCCCGCTTAGGATAAAGCTTCCCCCGCTGTGGATGAATAGGGATCGCTTCGCACCTGCTTGTCAGATTGATTGCCCAATAGCGCAGCTGCAGTGCCAGGGTTGCGTAGGGGCGCGCCACGATATGACAGGCGCCCAACCATCGATGACGGAGTCGGAGTGTCGATTAGTGGCAAATTGTGCTGACATTGTGCTGCTTCTGCTGG